GTGGTGCTAATGCCGCTTGGTATTAAGATTAAAGTCTTTCGGCAACGCGTTTAAACTACGCGTTTAAACTACGCGGGTACCAACATTCACACTAGGAGGTATTTGAGAAATAAAAAACTGTAATTTCCTTAAAATAAATCGTTTTTATTTATATGAAGATTAAAACTTTGAAGCTATTTGAATATTTTAATAAGATTTTAGGTTATATAAATAAAGTTAATAAAGACTATTATAAATAAAAAAAACATCGTCATCGGTTGGTAAAATATTATTATTAAATGTTTTTAAAAATTTTTAAATGAGATATAGAACCATAGCCATAGGTTTGTAAACTTATCATATTTCAGTCAGTTATTTTTCCAATAAACACAATTTTATTACTAAATAGTCATAACACATATAAATTTAATTTTTGTTTATCATAACGTTTACTTTATCTTTATTTACATTAATGTTATTTTTTTTTAATAGAAGTAACAACATATTTTGTTAACGAAAGTTAATATTTTCCATTTATGTTGATTGCATTCTTTGAAAGGCTGTCATGAAATATTAAAATGAGATTTTATGTGTAAAGAATTTATAATAAAAAGCTATATTAGTGGCAATTTTAAACAATTTACAACAAAATGACTTCTTGGTTCAACCAGTAACTGAATATATAAAACTTATTTGAATTTACTGATTAGAGTTATGACTAAAGAGGTACTATATAGGGCTTTAACTGAAACACTTGCATTTATTTTTGAAGAAAAATGAATTATGGATATATTTTGCAATTTTTTAGTAAAACGCCTTATTTTCTACGTTTTGACACATTTTGAAAAATATTTCTCAAAAAATGCATGTGCACTATTGATTTAAAGTTTTTTTTGCGTCATATTTTTTCGGCGATCTGATTTTATGTTCATACTATATTGATTGCGCTGGATAAACTATATTGCTATGGGTTATACGGTTTTTTGTGTTAAATTCGATGGGATTTAAAATTCAAAATAACAATATAAAATTATCTTATAAGCTGCTGCGAGCATGATGATGCTATGATATAACAAAATAGACCAAACTTTCCTTGATTGGAACTATAAAGTTTTATTTACTTAATCAGTAATAAAATCAAACGGTTGTAGAAATAGTTCAAGCGCAATTTAAAAATACTTAGTAAAAACCATAAACCGTAAAAATAATACTTTATTTAGTGATTTTAATCAATAAATATAGAGAACGCCATAACAGCCGAAACTTTTACACAATTTTTTGTTTGTAGACTTTTAGTTTGTTAGGGTAATATTAATCCTATTATAAGTCTTGAATGAGCTGTTTGAATTTCTCTGTAAATACAGAAATCATTTTTAATTAATTTTTGTGGGTTTTACTGTTGTTGTTTTTCTTTTAAAAAAAAAAAAAAAAACCGTTCTGATTAAGGAATCAAAATGTTCCAATTTTGGGAACCAGTTGCCTTTTTTGGAACAAAATGGTATCTTTGCAAAAACAAATTTTTTTCCAATAACATGGCAATCAATTAAGTAAAATATGGTTAAAAGTGTAAATCACAAATGCTTTAATAGTTAATCCATCTCTGGTTAATATTTATTTGTTGCAAAAGTGTTTCAATCAAAGAAACTCTCCCCCTAGAGTTATGGTCGAAAATATATTTATGGAAGAACACAGTTTTTGTATTGCATACATGCACATTTATTACTGGAAAACGTTTTAATTGAAAAATTAACATTTCTAAACATAATTAAATTAAAAAGTCACATTATAAAACATGTTTAAGTATTTTGGTTGTTGAACTTTTAGAATAAAGGCTATTTTTCGCGGTATTCAGGCAACAACAGACAGGATGTCATAAAATTACGATACTTGATTGTTACTTATGACACCACGCTTTTATTAAAATTTTTATCAGATCTGCCTATAAGTTCGGTTCTATTTAAAAGCTTCTGCTTTCAATTTTACCCAACAGTATTTGATCGAAATAAATTTAAATAAAATGAACTTTTCAGCCACGTGGTAAAACACTAACAGCACTTTCTTGGAATCATGTCCTAATAATTTTTTACCCGATATGTACTGCAAACGTTTCAACTCGCGATTCGTCTGAAAACAAAACACATCGCCACATTTTAATAGCCCATTTTCTAATGTTCTTTGAAAAATTAAGACATTCAATGCTATTGATTTTAGAAAGGAGTGGTGCTAATGCCGCTTGGTATTAAGATTAAAGTCTTTCGGCAACGCGTTTAAACTACGCGTTTAAACTACGCGGGTACCAACATTCACACTAGGAGGTATTTGAGAAATAAAAAACTGTAATTTCCTTAAAATAAATCGTTTTTATTTATATGAAGATTAAAACTTTGAAGCTATTTGAATATTTTAATAAGATTTTAGGTTATATAAATAAAGTTAATAAAGACTATTATAAATAAAAAAAACATCGTCATCGGTTGGTAAAATATTATTATTAAATGTTTTTAAAAATTTTTAAATGAGATATAGAACCATAGCCATAGGTTTGTAAACTTATCATATTTCAGTCAGTTATTTTTCCAATAAACACAATTTTATTACTAAATAGTCATAACACATATAAATTTAATTTTTGTTTATCATAACGTTTACTTTATCTTTATTTACATTAATGTTATTTTTTTTTAATAGAAGTAACAACATATTTTGTTAACGAAAGTTAATATTTTCCATTTATGTTGATTGCATTCTTTGAAAGGCTGTCATGAAATATTAAAATGAGATTTTATGTGTAAAGAATTTATAATAAAAAGCTATATTAGTGGCAATTTTAAACAATTTACAACAAAATGACTTCTTGGTTCAACCAGTAACTGAATATATAAAACTTATTTGAATTTACTGATTAGAGTTATGACTAAAGAGGTACTATATAGGGCTTTAACTGAAACACTTGCATTTATTTTTGAAGAAAAATGAATTATGGATATATTTTGCAATTTTTTAGTAAAACGCCTTATTTTCTACGTTTTGACACATTTTGAAAAATATTTCTCAAAAAATGCATGTGCACTATTGATTTAAAGTTTTTTTTGCGTCATATTTTTTCGGCGATCTGATTTTATGTTCATACTATATTGATTGCGCTGGATAAACTATATTGCTATGGGTTATACGGTTTTTTGTGTTAAATTCGATGGGATTTAAAATTCAAAATAACAATATAAAATTATCTTATAAGCTGCTGCGAGCATGATGATGCTATGATATAACAAAATAGACCAAACTTTCCTTGATTGGAACTATAAAGTTTTATTTACTTAATCAGTAATAAAATCAAACGGTTGTAGAAATAGTTCAAGCGCAATTTAAAAATACTTAGTAAAAACCATAAACCGTAAAAATAATACTTTATTTAGTGATTTTAATCAATAAATATAGAGAACGCCATAACAGCCGAAACTTTTACACAATTTTTTGTTTGTAGACTTTTAGTTTGTTAGGGTAATATTAATCCTATTATAAGTCTTGAATGAGCTGTTTGAATTTCTCTGTAAATACAGAAATCATTTTTAATTAATTTTTGTGGGTTTTACTGTTGTTGTTTTTCTTTTAAAAAAAAAAAAAAAAACCGTTCTGATTAAGGAATCAAAATGTTCCAATTTTGGGAACCAGTTGCCTTTTTTGGAACAAAATGGTATCTTTGCAAAAACAAATTTTTTTCCAATAACATGGCAATCAATTAAGTAAAATATGGTTAAAAGTGTAAATCACAAATGCTTTAATAGTTAATCCATCTCTGGTTAATATTTATTTGTTGCAAAAGTGTTTCAATCAAAGAAACTCTCCCCCTAGAGTTATGGTCGAAAATATATTTATGGAAGAACACAGTTTTTGTATTGCATACATGCACATTTATTACTGGAAAACGTTTTAATTGAAAAATTAACATTTCTAAACATAATTAAATTAAAAAGTCACATTATAAAACATGTTTAAGTATTTTGGTTGTTGAACTTTTAGAATAAAGGCTATTTTTCGCGGTATTCAGGCAACAACAGACAGGATGTCATAAAATTACGATACTTGATTGTTACTTATGACACCACGCTTTTATTAAAATTTTTATCAGATCTGCCTATAAGTTCGGTTCTATTTAAAAGCTTCTGCTTTCAATTTTACCCAACAGTATTTGATCGAAATAAATTTAAATAAAATGAACTTTTCAGCCACGTGGTAAAACACTAACAGCACTTTCTTGGAATCATGTCCTAATAATTTTTTACCCGATATGTACTGCAAACGTTTCAACTCGCGATTCGTCTGAAAACAAAACACATCGCCACATTTTAATAGCCCATTTTCTAATGTTCTTTGAAAAATTAAGACATTCAATGCTATTGATTTTAGAAAGGAGTGGTGCTAATGCCGCTTGGTATTAAGATTAAAGTCTTTCGGCAACGCGTTTAAACTACGCGTTTAAACTACGCGGGTACCAACATTCACACTAGGAGGTATTTGAGAAATAAAAAACTGTAATTTCCTTAAAATAAATCGTTTTTATTTATATGAAGATTAAAACTTTGAAGCTATTTGAATATTTTAATAAGATTTTAGGTTATATAAATAAAGTTAATAAAGACTATTATATGATTTATTTTTAAATTTTGAAAAACAGCTTAAATATAAAAAAGCATGTGATGTCATAAAATGCACCGTTAACTGCGCAACAATTGTTTTAACTGATCTGTTGTTTTAACGAATTTATTTTGTATTTACAATTGTAAAACTAAGTTTGTTCTTGATTTCTAAAAAAAAAAATTTATTCTTTATTTTTTTTTTGTTATTGCTTAGGTTTTGAATTAGGTATTTTTTTTTTTTTTTTTTAATTTCGCTAACATTAAAATGTCACAGTACAATTATATTTAGTATATATGGTGTTACAATTTAAAAAATTCCAATACCAGTATAATTAAAATAAGAAAAACACTCACATATATAAATTTAAGCTTATATACACTTACAGATGTATAGATGCGCTCATATATAAATTGCTCACAATAAAACATATGCAAGGGTCTGAACATAAGAAGATCGCAAGATCTTGTCGTCAGAACCTTAAAAAATACAAGCAAGCAAAATAAAGACAAGTATAACATACAAAAAATAAAGTAAAATTAAAAAATTAAAAAGTAATAAAGCCCAAATCAAATAACAATTTTCAAAATATTAGAAATATTTAAGTATATTATCAATTGAAAAAATGCATTTTTAAAGATAGAGCTTGAAAAGATAAAAGAAAGTTGGTTGATCGAGATTTTTCAGAACAATATTCTTCCATATGTGGGGTCCACGATAAGCAATGCAAAATTGATTAAATTTTGTGTGATAAAACGGCTCATTTAAAAAATTTATGCTTCTCATATTGTATTTGTTGTTAGGTTTGAGTTTGAAAATATTATTAAAGGCGGTAGGGGATAAATTACTTCTCTATAAATATGCAAAACATAAAACTTTAAATACATTGAGTTTAAACAAATTTAATAATTTCATTTCAATAAAGATAGATTTTGTATGTGTAAAACGATAAGCATAGTTAATTATGCGGATCGCATGTTTTTGACGGCGATGAAGTTTTAATTTACTTTTAACCATACTCCCCCAGGCAGTGTTAGCATAATTTATGTAACTGTGGATAAAAAAGTATTAAAGTTGGCTTAAGCAATTTTTATTAAGGTAGTTACGAGCTTTATTGAATCCCAATGTTTTTTGAAATTTTAGTAGTAACATAATTGATGTGTTGATTCTAGGAGATGTTTTTATCGAGATAAACGCCTAAGAATATTGTAACGGATTCATTTTTTATTTTAATATCGTCTATATAATATAGTTGTGGCAAGTTTGTTGGTAATAATCGCTTTTTTGCATACAAATGGAACAGAGTCCATTTGGTTTTAATAATACTTAAAATTACATTTAAACCAGTTTGATATATGTTTTAGTTCTTTATTCATAGTGGCAAAGAGTTCATATATATTACTGCTTGAGAGGATTAGGTTGGTATCGTCTGCGTACATGATACTTATAAGGTTGGAAACTTTATTCAAATCATTTATATATTAGGAAAAGTAGGAGTCCGAGGATTGAACCTTTAGGAACACCGCATACGATATCAAGATAATTATTTTGATAACCATCGCCACTAATTACAAATTGTTTTCTTTTTGTTAAGTACCGTCAAACAGGGTGACTGGTTTTTAAGAATTTTTTCAAATAAATTTTTTTTTGAATTTTATTTTTTCGATATAACATTATACTTTTTCGTTATAGAACTCCATTAAATAAAAAAATTTTTTCTTCGGTTTTAATATTTTTTTTAAGTCAAAAATGTTATCAATCTCAATCCTTCGAGTGACGTTGATAGTTTATTATTTCTAAAAAGCTTATTAATTACGCCATCTTCACAAGTGCCATTAATACCTTTTTTTAAAGTTTTACTAAATTACAACACAATATACATATTTTTAAGGTTTTACTGGTGAAATTATAAATTTAGACAACAAGATTGGTTATCGAATATATCCACAGAATGGACAAAAAAAAACAATTTGGTGTTAATATGCTAAACATAACAATATAATATACCAATAGCATCATTAGAGTAATTGTAATTAACAGTTATAAAATAATGCTAACAAAAAAAAAAGTACTAATTGTATATAAATGTTAAGTACTAATGTACTTTACTTGTTTAACTCCATTTAATATAATAAAAAGATACCAAAACAAAAAAAACTAAAAATCTCATTTTCTGACAAATGGTGTTAAAACCGGAGTAGGAATTAGTTGTTCTGTGTAGTACCTCTACACAGAACAACTAATTGGTGGTTGAAGATTTTGCAATATACTTAAAAAGTGTACAGCAAAAACGATGTCTTCTGCAACAGGATAATTAAACAGATTTGGATCCTTCTGCTATCGTTAGGAATCTCATATAAAGAAGTTTTAGCGTTGGTAAAACCTCAACAATCTGCCCAATGTAATTCAATTTCACACTTTTTTTAGTTTTTCCTGGGTAGACAACAACATGCCAACTGTAGTTAGGAAATTGTTGACATCAAGTTTTTCTTGATTACTCTGATTTAAATCAACATCTTTCTGGTCATTACTTTCGTTAGAATGACCACTACTACCGACTTCGATGTCTTCTAATTCAGACAAAGATTTAACATCCTTTGAAGCTATTTTTGATTTTTTGCCTTTAATTTGTTGGTTTTTAGATTTTTTCTGTTTTAATGTGTGTCTATAATCATTGCCAGCTATTGTGATTGACTTTCGTGGTACAATTTTTATCCCTCTTTTTCTATTGGTTTTTCCTGCTGCATCATTGCCACAGTACTTTGTGAGAATATCTATTACACTCTCATTTAATATTTTTTTTATGGTCTCACCGCCATAGTCATTGTTGACATCTGGAAGCCATTTCAATACTTTTCCTCAATTCAATGGATCTATGCCTGAAGCTTCGAACCCTGCTTTTAAGTTTTCTGCTTTCAGAGTATTTTGCAACTTTGTCAAGAGCACTGGGAAATGTTTTTTTGGAATGAACCCTTGATTCGTGATTCTCTTCTCCATGTTTGTAAAATCTTCTTCCACTCAACTTTCAAGGATCTGAAAACAGCTTTATAACATCACAAACTCAGATCACACTATTATAATATGTTAACTTTGAACATTTAAGCAACAGTGAAAGGGGGGGGGGCATATTAGAGAAATGAGTGTATTATAGAAAGATATTTGTTAGGTGCTGTTTTTTATGAGTGTTTGTATATGGCGACGAACATAGTAGAAATACATTTGTCATAGTAAGTCTTCTAGATTAAATAAAAATGAATCAGGGTTAAGAGAATGGAAATAGAATAAATTATCATGAGGAATATATATTTGAATCCTGATGACTTGAGGTTAGTATAACAAAAGTAACATAGAAGTGTGTATTTTAAGACAATACATTACAAAAATATATTTTGAAACAATAATGGTCAATTGTGGTAGTCAAATGTTTAAGATAAGTAATAACCATTACCTATTGTGCTACTAAATTGTTGTTAGTGTTACACGTAAATGTGATGTATATACAGAAAGCAATAGTCAAGGAAAGAAGGAGTCATGAGTTGTTGTGCTACTAAATTGTTGTTAGTGTCTAGCGTAAATGTGATGTATAGATAGAATTAGTAAAGGAGTAGAATTATTCGTTTTATGAGTTGTTATCATGTAGTCTGTATTATTAGGGTGATAAGCATACATTATTGATATTAGTGTGTCATGAACGTCTTGAGTACAGTATGGATACGTGCCTTATGGTACAGTGTAAACACATGAAGACCTCCACTTTTCATCCGAGAATGGTATCCCAAAAGATGGGTCTAGACCAAGGTATCTTTTTAAGGTATCCCATTGTGTTATCCCAAAAGGACTATTCTCAGAGTATCCAGTCAGGATGATTGCCACAGACTTCTGGATTGACACTGAGACAGGGGGACACTTAGCGGCGTTCAGTACAATTTACAAACAATAGTAAGTAACTTTTTGACATGAGTGTCTATAAGTTCAGTGTTTTGTCACAGTATAAGTTGGGTCAATGAGAGTTGTGAACTGTTTTGAGTTCTTATAACTAAGTGTGTAATGTAAATAGTCAATGTGGTGTACTCGTGTGTGACCAATGTAGTAGCATGTCTCGATTGTAAGAGCTATCAGTATATAAAATAGTTGAAAGTCTTTTAAATTGATGTAACATAAGGTAGACGTGAGTACTAGAAGTCTAATAAACGTGTATCATTAAAAAAATAACATAAAAAAATAACAAACTATTACAACTGGATAAACTAGAAATGTTAAACAGAGCTACATCAATACAGCAACAATGACTATTGTATGTGTTTTGCAACTAATAATCTGTATATATATTTTACAGCTCATAATCTAAAATTATATGGAAACTTTGTAGCGTAACAGGTAAATGTAAGTGGTACAAATATGTGTTTATTATTTTGTATAAGTGACAAGTTTAACTGTGCATTTCACGTGACTGTAATGTAGTCAGGAGTGTAGACTAAAGTCGAGTGGAATTAATCGTTTTCAAAACAGTTAGCAGGTAAACTCTAGTCAATTAAACAAACTGTATGTATAGCATGGCTAATTTTTGTGTCACTTACAATAACTAATTAATAGTAAGAACACTATGATATAAAGAATAATTATAGAAGAAAATCAAAATAAATTTAAAAAGAGAAAAGTGAAGTGTTAATTCAGGATGTGAGGTGTATGTGTATAAGCATGTGTTTGATGTGTTTTAAGTACTCTTCTTTGTTGGTTTTGTTAGGTAAATAAATTTACCTTTATTATATGTGGTTGTAAAGAAGATAGTCGTTGCTCCGCAGTCCACGCGGAAATAAATACCTTTTGTAAATGCAATGCATTTTAGTGAAGCTGTACCGAACAGTGAACGTCTTAGAGACGAGAAATAAGTTAAAAAGAGTTTAGCAGATGGAAATAAAAGTATAAAAGGACAGGTGTCCAGAGGAAAACAAAGAGCCTCAAAGTAGAAAAATACTAAAAACTGATATAAGTAAAATGTAGTAAAAAATAAATAAGAATAATAAACAATAGCAAAGTAAGAGCCATTAGTTGTTATGCTACTAAATTGTTGTTAGTATCAAGCGTAAATGTGATGTATAGACAGAATTAGTAATGGAGTAGAATTATTCGTTTTATAAGTAGTTATCATGTAGTCTGTATTATTAGGGTGATAAACATACATTATAGATATAAGTGTGTCATAAATGTCTCGAGCACAGTATGGATTTGTGCCTCATAGTACAGAATGAACACATGAAGACCTCCAGCTTTCATCCAAGACTGGTATCCCAAAAGATGGGTCTACACCATGGTATCTTTTTAAGGTATCCAATTGTGTTATCCCAAAAAGACTATTCTCAGAGTATCCAGTCAGGAAGATTGCCACAGACTCCTGAATCGACACTAACCGCAGAGGAGACTTAGTAGGGTTTAGTACAACTTGCAAACAATTGTAAGTAATTGTATGACATGAGTGTCCATAAGTGCAGTGGTTTGTCACAGTATAACATCAAAATTTTACAATCACAATCACAGTATAACATCAAGTGGTTGTAGCAGATGTGTGGCATTTGGGAATAAACATGTAAACCGGATATTATTTTCTAAATATGCTTTGATGATATCAGATGAGAAATGTGAAGTTAAATTATTCCCAATAATATTTTTAGTTCCTATAAGAGATGCTGTTTCAGGAATAAAAATTTTCCTGAACCAACGTTCAAATGTTCTAGAGTCGTATTAACCAAATTTTGAACTGTCGAATATAGTTCCAGGTGGGTCACCATTTGTCCACTCTGTGTAGCAATTTGCAGCTTTATAAACAACCATGGGAGAAAGAAACTGACCAGCTGCACTCCCACAGTACATGTTACTAATAGCTCCTTTAGAATGCTGCATTTTTCTTTCTACGCGTTTAAAGCTACGTTTACAAACTACTGTTTTAAAGCCTGGATTATTGCTCACATTTGTCTCATCATAGTTGAATATATTGGTATTAGGAATGTCTTGAAGTTAATGGATAACTCATCGAAATATGAACATACTGAATTTCGATCAATTTCAGCTTTTGCTGGTTTTACTTGGTCAACAATTCGAGCAGTCAGATTGTTGCGAACAATGAAGTATTTTATCCAATCAGGGCCAGGCAAGTTATTTTTAAGTTTTGAATCAGTAACACCCATTTTGTCTAAATAGTCTTTTACAAGCAGATGAATATCCAACTTATCCAAAGGAAACTTCCAATCTCTCAGGATGTTAATAATTTGTAGAATCTTTTCTTCGGTATGGGGCTGTAATCTGGTCTGCCCTCCAAAGTTTTTTTTATATGTTTTAATTTACTCTTGTTGTACAGAGTACCATATGGTATACAATATAACTTGGATGCCTTAGAAATCAATATTCTGTTAGTTTAGATATCTAACAAGGCATTTTACAAGACTTCTTCTGGATACAATGCATAGGAACGATTACCTGGTTTACGTTTATAAGTTCTCATGGTTTCTTCTGCAACTCTTCTTGTGATATTTTAATGTCTTTTCAACTAGAAATAATCGATTGAAACATTAAATAATCATAATAAGATTAAAATATCAAATAATAACAATTATTTGAAAAAGTGAAAAACAAAATTGTTTTGAATTTTCTGCAAATGTTATTGGGAGTAACCAAAAATAAGTGGTATATTACAGTGGTATTATAACTGGAATATAATATTTAAACATTTAAGTATAGGTTTTTAGAATTTTTTTGGAAAATGCAAAAAATGTTATTTTGTTGTTTAAATCATGATAATCCCAACACATTAATATTATATACAATATAATGATATAGAAACAGCCAAAACAGACTTAAAATAGTCTTATTTTGCATTGGCAATTTAACGTGTAGAACTTTGTCTTATTTTATATAGTTTTAAGATAATCTTATGTCCATTTGCATTGTTGCAATTTCTTAAAATTAAAATTTTAAAATTTTTTATTTGTTTTATTATGAAAAATAATAACATATTCTATAAGTATTTTAAAAACAATTAGGTTTAATTAAAAAGATCAAACGCAGTGATAAATAAAAACTTCAGCTGCCTTTTAAAATTTTAAAACAGTCGAAAGCTTTTGATAGGTCAATGAAGATACCTAACAGGTACTGTGATTTTTCAAAAGATTTCGAGATTTCATGCACAAACTGGCTCCGTTGAGTTACCTTTTTTAAAGCCGAATTGTTTGTTATATAGTAAGTTATTTTTGTTAAGATGTTTGTATATTCTATTAGACATTATTCTTTCTTTCTAAAATTTTTAAAAATACCAAAAGAACAGAGATGTGACGGTAGTTGCTAATATTCGATCTGTCTCCCTCTTTTAAGATAGGAGTAATTTTAGCAACTTTTTATTGTTCTGGAAATACTCCTTCGTTAATAGAAGCTTTAAAAACTTTAAAAAGAACATGTTTTAATATACCGAAACAGTCTATAATTACATTTCCATAAATTTCATCTGCTCTTGTTGGTTTGTTTCTTTTCAAGGAATTCAAAGTTACTTTAAATTCCTCAAAAGATAATTTTGAGGTTAACTCATCGGAACAAAGGCAATTATCCATAGGTACTAGAAAATCATTAAAAGAAGCCGTTTTTTTAATCCCTTTGTAAACCAGGGACTTTCTGAGCTTTTATTTGTTTTTATTATATTTTCAACGATTGGAAAATTAACGTCGTAAACATAAAATAATGTTTTATAAAATGTTTCGTAAATTTTATTTGCATTGTCATTAAAATCAATATGATTCCAATGGAGTAAAGATAGTTGATCTTTAAATTGATCAAGATTTTTTTGCTTGAAAATATGTTTTTTTACAACTATTGGGGTGTTAACATTTTTTTCTATATTTAAGTTTAATATTAGAAATATAGGAAAATGATCAGTTTTTATGATACCTTTTTGAATACCTTTATTAAAAACGTCTGTTGTAATGATATTATCTATTAAGGTAGCCGAGTTTATTGTTACCCTAGTGGGGCGATTAATTAAGGGTATAGATCCTGTTTCAAAAATTGTGTCATAAAAATTTTCAACTTTATGGTTATCTTCAGAAAGAATACAATTCATATTAAATCCTAAATTACAAAGCTTTTTCTTTTTTCTGCGTCATTGTTTTTAAAATATGTTGTAAAAACATGCTTAGGTTTTTGGTCGCGCCGTCAGGTGGTGTATATAACAACAGCTTAGAATAATGTTTTTTTGTTTTTTCAGGTAAAAGTTCAGTTGTTAAAACTTCTTTATCGCCATCGAAGACACTAAAATTATTTTCATATTATAAAAGATATTTTCCTGAACATAAATTAGAAGTCCTCAACCCCTTTTATTCGTATTTCTTTCTTGTGAGATTTTAATTTTAAAATGAGGAATATAAATGAGGAATATAAAAGTTATTTTCAAAACCGTTTTGTGTAACCCATGTTTCAGTTAAGCAAATAATATTAAAAAAAAATTTTTTTTTTTTTTTAAATTTAAAAGTTTTCCAAAATTTCGATTTTGGAAAACTTCTTACATTGTCAGAATACAACTTTTTTTAGTTGTATTCTGAAAAAGAAAACCTACTAATTCTTCAGGATAAAAATAAGCACAATAAGTAATTGTATCGCAAAAAAAATTATCTGGATCTATGTTTTCCGCAGAAAAAAAGTGGTTTTCTTTGAAAAAATTAAAAGTAATGGATTCAAAATCATTCAATAAAGTCATATTTATTAAAATTAGGTTAACTAAGGTTTCTTTTTAGGAATGCGTAATTCGACTATGCGTTTAGAGCGTTTTTAAAAACAATATTTTTAAAAGAAATAACTTTATCGTAACAAACCGAAAAATTCTCACCATTTAAACGTTGTTCTTTTACTTCCGCAAATAATTTTCTTGTGATTGCAACCGTTTAAAATCAGTATATGTTATATTTGGCTTTTAGTTTTTTTTTAAGAACGAAAATACATGATTCAATTGAGAAATAAATCTTATACTTGATAAATAAAGCTATACTTAGTAGTATTAATAATGTAAGCTTGTGATTACGTCATGAGTATAAGTAATACAACAAAACCAAATGGAGTATATCAAAATAAATATTTGAAATACGATAGATCAAGGCAAGTTAAAGATATAAAATAATTTTGGCTAAAAATCACATTGTTTTTAAATATTTTTAAAAATTCAGGATTGTGTCCCTAAACTTCGGAACCCGTGTCGCCGGCCCTGTAAAATCAAATATATAACGATGATAACTAAATAATAAACTTAAAGCGTTTTTGGTCGTATGTGTAAACGCATGACCTACTATAATTACTATAATTTTAGTAGGCCATAGTATACAACCAAAAAGGTTTTAAAGATAAAATATTTTAAAAGTTTTTTGTTATTAAGTTACTGAAGTAATATAACTTTAATTATTATTGTTTCAGGTAGCTTCAGCTATTGCCATAGGCAGCTTCCTCTAAGATAAGAAGCACTATTATGTGTTAACCAAGATGCTTATGAGAATTTTTTGTTGTTTTATTATTTATTTATTATTTGCACTAATATTTGTACTATATATAGTATGCTATTAATTATATTACTATTATAGTTTGTAAAAGTTAACAGCTAAAAGTAAATATAATAATAATAATAAGTATAGTAAAAATAACTACTAGTAGAGTAAATAAACTTATTATTTTAACCAGTATTTTTTCACAGCTTTCAAACAATAATATTTTGAATAGCAAAATTTGAAAACTCATAATAAATTTTCTAAAATAAACAATTATAATATAATAAAAATTCTAAATTATACAATTAAAATATAGTAAATTTTCTTAAATATACAATTAAAGGTCTTTTTGTTAAAGCTCTTAGTGAAAGTAAGTTTTAGTTTACTATTTTATAATGATAATTTATTTTATAAATTGTTTGGTATTGTAATTTTTACAAACTAAATTTGTGCAAAATCCACTATCGCAGAAGGTGTTCAATTTTCCTCTACACCTGTGTGAAGCTATCACTTTTAAGTACTAGTGTGGACTGAAACAAATCTAGAGGTTAGAGTAATCATTATTTCAATTTCATAAACATATTTAGATCAGTGCAATAAACAATCTTTTTTTATTAAAAAAGTATTTAGCTCGTTTAAATTCACATTTTTCAACTTTATAAATGTGATTTTGGTTTAAGATAAGTTTAATCTAAGATTAATTTAATCTAATGAAATTAAAATAAAATATATAATCATAAAAGTAGTTTTGTTAAAATAAAAAACAGCCGTGGCGTAGTGGTTAGAGCGCTTGCTTTAGAATCAATAGGTATAAGGTTCGAACCTTGTCTGGTTTATAACACTTGCAACATCGGTAAGAATTTTTTGTTTCAAAGTAGTTAAAATAAAAGTACCTTTTTGACCGTGGTCAAACATCTTAATAATTTATGGCATCCAAAAACTTTTGTGCTCGTGTAACGTCTCCAATAATTTTCATGCATTTTTTCCTTTGTAGATTTGCAGAATGATAATTTGCTATATAAATGTTTGAACGGTTAATAAATAAATGAATGCAGCTCGAATGAGGTCATGCTGATTCAGATGTAATTTTTAACCTCGAATATGATTTCCATGGTCTTTTAACTTTTAACTTTTAAAAACACGAAATTTTTTTTGCTGTAATAATTAATAAAAAAGATAAACAATAAATTAAATTAAAAACCAACTATTTTAATGTAAAAATTGTTTCAACATAAAATTCTTTTATTAAAAAATGTAGAAAAACTTATTTTTTTAAAAAAATTATAATACAAAAGAACTGCAAACAAAAAAATTTTTGTTTTAACTTATTACAATAACAATTGTGATAACTTGTTTAAGTTTTTTTAGATAAAAATTAATTTTATTAAATCAACAACGTCATTAGACTATTTCAGCTATTAAAAATTTAGTTTATTAAGTCAAACATTTACTTTCGAAAAAAGAAAGTGGATTATAAATAAAAAATTTTTTCATAATAAAGATATAAATCTTTAGCTAGATTGAATGGAGTATAGTTTTAATGATATCAAAAAATTGTGGGAGGTTTGAAAAGAATATATATTATAAAAATTTAAAAAAACTTTAGTAAAAAACTCAATCGAAATTTAAAAAAAAATTAACATGGAGGAGTTATTAAAAGGAGGTCATCATAACTTATATATATAAAAAAGGAGATAAAAAAGAAATACTACTTAATATAATAAATAATAATCAACTGGCTTGTATCAAAAATAAAACAATGTATAAAATGTTAATTTATATTAGAGACGTAATTACTTTCGCATAGAAAGAAAAACAGAAATTTCTTTTTCAAGAGTCTTGAACATTTTGGTTATAGAGAGGTTTTTGTTGCACTCAAAATCTGAACCAATCAAAAGCCTAATACAATTATGAGAAGACTTTTATTTGTTTTTAAAGTAGTGAAAAAAAAAACAATTTGATTAAAAACCTACCTTACCATAGTAACGAAAAAATTTGACTTATTCCATTCTTCAATACGTCATTGGTTACGAAGAAAACAATCATTGTTTATTACCCGAGAACATCCTATGATTATTTTAGGTCAATATATTTTGAAGCTCTCGACACAATTATTATTACGATAGAAGATCAATTACGATAGAACTTTAAACTCAATCAGAAATTTCATTGCACTTGCATTTAATATGTGTTAGATTTGAAGATTTAGAGCTGAAGCAGCCCATAGTTAATAAATAATAATTTATTAATAATCTGTTAAATTAGTAACTATTTCACGATACTAGCATAATAAAAAAAATTTGAATGAACTAAAATGTTTTGTAGAATTTTAATGTCTACATGGTTTGATAGTGCAATGCTTGATCGGGGAAGAAACGCGGTTCTTCTTTAAATGATCGGGGAAGAAACGCGGTTCTTCTTTATATACCCGTTTCTGAGTATTATCAAAAAGTTGTTTTTAAAAACACTATAAAGTTTCGTATTATTTAATTTGATTGAATGCAATTATTGTGTTATTTATACAAAGCCTCTTGACTTTTTAGGTCATCAAGAGCTATATTTGCATCAAGATCTTCATAGGCCTCCACCTCAGGATCTTGGAGCTCTGAAATCCATTCATCACCAGAGTCTACAGCATTCAAACAAAGGAGATATTCAACTTTAACTCTCTGTGTTTTAGTTTCAAATTGAACCAAATATAAACCAAATCATTGAGTTTCGCTTACTTCAAGCAATTTCTTCTCTTTGTATGCACTTATTTATTAAAATATTAAAACTCAGTAACATAAAAATTGAAAACATATAAAAACCAAAATACTTTTTATTTTTACTTGATTGAAGGAGTTCCGATTCCGTTTTCATCCAGAAGTACGGCAAGTCAAGCTCGTGATTCTAATGGCAAATTTTGCTAGTTCAGGCGTTTGATCTCCAAAAGCTATCCACCAATTTGCTGAAAATAGTAATGATATTTTAAAAAGTTGTTGAGATGCGATCCCATATTGGTTCTATCCATTGGTTTATTGCTATTTAATTACTAACATACTAAAAATAGTGAGAACACATACCTGGACTTCTCTTCTTCCTTGTTCTTACTGCATCATCCCATCTAAATAAACCTGTCCATTTTGAAAAGAATTGATCTTCAAATCCACTTTCTCCCTTTCTTCTGAATCAGCAATCAATCGCTGATTCGGAATTCAAATTTTCGAATTCTGATGAATTATCTCAAATTCTTTTCTAGAAACCTGTTTAAAAGCAGAAATCATGGAAACGGATATATTAGGTCATTTTCCTATAAAATTTTTACTTAAATCTCAAGATACAAAAACAATAAGAAATTCTGAAACTAAAATTTATAAAAAAAAAAAACAATTTTCCATTTAAAATCTTGGCGAGAAAATAGAGTAAATTTTTACAAAGAATGCTTGGAAATTTGGAAACAAATGGAAAAAAAAAAAAACCTTGAAAACACGAACTCCATATGTATTATTTTATAAGATATTTTTTTAAAACAATCACCATTTCCCTATCGAAGAAAAAGAATATCATTAACAGAGTCAGGAAATCATCAAAAACAAAGCAAAAGTTTTACATCAAGTATTTAAAAAATAGAAACGAAATAAACTCATCTGTGTACAAGGAATACAAAAATTTATTTGAAAAAATTAGAAAGAATTTTTAAAAAAATCTACTACTCAAAAAAAAATTCAAAAAAACATAGGAAATATTAATAAAACTTGGAGCATATTGAAAGAAATAATTGCGATAAACTATACAAAAACATACATTCTGCTAAATAGAATTATTGCTTTCAACAAACTTTCAACAAAACAAGCTTTTAACAAGAACGGACTTTAACTCTTGGTGAAAAAAACATCTTCTTAAGAAAACGCTTCAACTTAATAATCGAGTATTATACTGTAACACTTCCAGAAACAAAGAAACTTTTAATAGAAATGTTCAAAGAATTTAAAAAGGAAACGGAAGAAATGTCTCCGAATCAAGAAAAAGTAGTTTTCGATATTATTGGCGCTAACATCAAAATAATAAACGACAGATTTGAAAAAGTAGAGAAAAAATAATGATGGAAATACAAATAATATAAATAAATAAATAAAAGTAGAAAATATAAGAGTAAGCCTTAATTTTAATGAAGTTAATTTTAATGAAATTTTATTGACGAAAAAATAATTACTAATATAAAATATCTAGATAAAAAAAATTGAACATGCAAAAATAGATGATGTATTAAAAGAAAAACAAAAAAAATCTACAAGATCGATCACGTCATAACAATCTTCGGATTAATTTACAAAAATTATGAAGAACCATGAAGGGGATACTGAAAAAAAAGTCCAAACATTCTTCTCCGAAAAAACTTGGACTAAAAGATGTCAAAATTGATAGAGCTCACCGCAACGGACGAAAAAACGATAGACGACTAAGGAATACTAAATTTTCAGAAATATAGAGACAAAGTAAGAATAATGAAGGAATTCTATT